AGACCATTTCAGGCTAGACATGAGGAAGAATTTCTTTACTGTCCGAGCCCTCAAGGTCTAGAACAACCTGCCATCAGAGGTGGTTCAAGCACCTACATTGAACACCTTCAGGAGCAAATTGGATGCTTATCTTGCTGGGATCCTATGACCCCAGCTGACTTCTTGCCCTTTGGGTGGGGGGCTGGACTCGATGATCTTCCAAGGTCCCTTCCAGCCCTAATGTCTATGAAATCTATGAAAGATTGGTTTATTAGTAAATTCCCCACAGGTTGTGGAGAACACCGGCTGTTCTCAAAGCTTGTGGTCTTCCTTTCGCCCTCCACCACTGTGCAGCCCACTCCCCAAGCCAGTCGGCTATACTCTAGTCCCACTCTCTTTGTTTTTCTCTTTTCTGCAGGTACCAATGGATCCTTTCTCTGTGGGACCTTCTCTCAGCCAGTAATTTTCTCCTCTCTTCCTCACCTCCTTGCTTCACCAGTCACCCTGGCTACTTCCACCTGGTTAGCTGGTCTTATCAGAAAGCTGTTCCAACACTGGGTCTGCCACTCCTGGCATCCCTGCTGAATCTCTCCACGCTGTGCCCCAGGGGGCAAAGGAAAACTGCCTGCTGTGGATTTAAGTAGCCGCTGACTCTTAATCAGTTAACATTCACCCCGGTTTGGTCCCCTTCCCAACTGTGTTTACTAAGTAATTAACTTTGCCCTGTCCCTGACCTGACCCTCCCCCATACTTGCAACTTTGTAACATCAAAGAACAGGGCTCTCTTTGCCCTGTTACACACTGGCCTAGATGAACTTCTGAGGTCCTTTCCAACCCTAACTTTCTATGATTCTCTTCTGATTTCTGGTTCAGATGCATCTTTCTTTGGGCATTTCACTCTGCAACATAGTATAGCCCAGTTTGTGGCACACTGTCACCAAGGAGAGAGGCATTTTGTATACAGGCAATCCTCGACTTACAATGTTTTGAGTTACAACATTTGGCACTTACAACGTTTATAAATTGACACCCTGTTTCAACTTTCTGACATCAGTTTTGACTTTTTGACGCTCGATCCAATGCAATGCTATGTCAGCAAACAAGCTTGCTGCATGCCCATCTTTCTGTTGAACATCCGTCCAAACTTCCTTGGACACTTTCTTTTAAGAAAGCAGATGAGGGTCCAGAAAAACCTGCAGCCAAGACTTCTGAGGAGAATCCAGCCAAGAACCCTTCAAAAAGTCCAGCAAAGTCACCTCAAAGAAGTCCTTCCAAATTGGTATGATTGGTATTTACAATATAAATACATTAATGTAGCTATATTATTCATCTATAATTGATCGAGTATGAAATTCTGGGTTATTTTTGGTGAAAATAGGGTATTGCGCCTTGGTTCAGGAGCCAATCCCCCATTTATAACACTGTTTCCTATGGGAAAATCAGTTCTGAGTGACAGTGTTTCAACTTAAGACACGGTTTTCAGGAACCAATTGTGTCGTAAGTCCAAGGACTGTCTGTAGTTGAAGGCAGCTGGCTAGTCCTAGAAGTGTGACCCATAACATAGCATGTGGGGAGGGAGCAGGAGGATTTCAGTCACTGGTTACAATGTTAGTTTGGTAGACACAGGCTTTCATGCCCAGTCCCTTGTGGAGTTATGTGCTTTTACCTTTTTGTCTTTAACTTCTTTATAATAAAGATCATTTCATTCTCTTTACTCTAGTTAATCAAAGGTATTCAGTTCATTCTCTAGTAAGACTTAAGTTAGCTATACAGGTTACTGCTACATTGTCTTTCTCCATATGCTAATTATGTCTCAAAACTTCACCCATTTTTTTAGGGTGAGTCTGTAAGGAAAAAACTCACATCAGTTGTCTTGTGAAAACATAGCAGAGACGAGACAATTTTGGCATAACTAACTGAGGTCATTGTTGTTTGGGGAGCAATTCATAGTCAAGGATGACAGTACCTCAGCAGTGGTGGTCAAGGAAAGTGCAATAGATATGCTGATGGCTGCACAGACCTATTTGCAATTAGAGTCTTTAACTGCATAATCGGCAGCATCAGTTGTGTTGTGGGGTGGTCTATTGCTCCTACTGATTATGTATTCTTCACCCTGCATGCTTTTCCTACTCAAGGTCATGCTGTTGTTCAAGTAGGTGCTCAGTTGCTGTGTATTTATAGTGGATAATTCTAAAAATTAATCAGGTTGCATTTGATTAAGTGCATCTTTAAAGTGCTTTCTTGAGCAACACAGGCAAGGTTCTTTGGGTAGATGTGATATCTTTTATTAGACGAACTGAGTAACTGTGTGTCCTTTTCCTGAGCTCCAGTTCACTGGATAGGAACAATGTGGGCATTTTTCATTGTCTATCAAAACCACAGGTCTGAACCATCAGAGCTGAGTCTTCACTATTGATGCCTCAAAGAGCATCCAGCCACTATAAAGCACGGCACTGTCATTGGTCAGTTCATTCTACCACCTCACTTAGACTGAGTGCCAAACTGCCTCTGGACCTTCTTCAGTTGACAAATATGACCTTTTTATATGGTGTCTAGTTCTCACAGCTATACAGCAGTGTAAGATCACAAGCTTTGTGCAATTTTAATTTGTTAGGTAAATTGACACCACACTGACTCCATACTTGCTCTGCAAACCCGTTAAAGGTCACAATCGTTTTTTGGATGTGAGAGACTACCTTCCCGTTACTGATATGATCAGGCAAAATACTTCTCAGGTAAGTGAACTCATGAATGAGCAGAAGTTTAGACCTGCTGATGGATGAGTGATACATAATTATGGTGTTCCTCAGACTGGCGATAAGTCCAAAGCTAGTTGCAGAGACAGCAAATTGTTTTACCAATAACTTAAGATCTTCACCAGAATGAACTACCAGTGCAAAATCACTGGCACATAAGAGTTCCTGTAGAGTCTGTTGGGCAACCTTAGTTCCAGTACAGAGCCTAAATTTGCAAAGAAGGAAAAGTTGTATCAACTACCTCATTGTGATTCTTGAAACTTCCCTCCTTCAAGGTGCAGGTTAGTTAAAGATGGTCTAAAAGAGGGTAACATCAATCATGACCAGCAGAAAAATATCCTTCTCATCATTGTAGTCAGGGTATTTGTGGTAAATACTTCAAGTTTCTCCCCTCCCCCTGCCAAATGACTTTAAATGAGATAGCCACTTAAGGAATTTTGAAAAATCCTCCCCCACACTTCTGTGTGATATAATTGTGAAGCCGAATAACACAATGGTAAGGCTGGATGGGTCAGGTGTTAAGGCCAAAAATTCCTTCACCTACAAGCCCTGATTTTTTTCAAGAAACATTAAGATGTAGCTAGAACAGAGTTCTAAGCCTATTCTAGATTCGCATCCCCTTTTATGCCACTATCTACTGGAACCTTTTTAATCAAGCAGTAAGGGAAAGGCTGAATAACTGTGATGCCTTGAGACCTGGTCAAGATCCTGAGGTTAAGATTCTTTGGTCTAGAACTTTTTTTTTTTTCACTTGTACCTCTACAAATTTGCTGCATTATATGATTCTTTGCATTAGGGCTGTACAAAACCTCGGTCCTGATTTTGATTTAGCGGAGATTCGGCTCAATTTGGTGGCTGAATCTCCAAACCTGAATTTAATCACAGGACCTTTTAATCTCTCTGAATCAATTTGGAACCCTCCGAATTGATTCGGAGAGATTTGGACAGCTTTGGTGATTCAGACTTAGATACAGCTTTAAATGGTGTGTGTGTGTGTTTGGGGGGGGGGGGGTTTGCTTGTTTGTTTTTGTTTTTGTCCTACAGACCTCTAGGTAGCAGGGGCTCTGAATGGTGTGGTACTGGGGCAGAGGCAGTGGCTCCCCAGAGCACTCAGCAGCAGACCTGGAAGTGGACCAGAAGCATTTCCAGTCCACTTCCTGGTCCACTGGGGCCTCCCCATGTGCTCCCTCCCATGCACCCCAGCTTGGTGACTGGTGCCTCCTGAGTCTGTGAGGGGCACCCAGGGTCCCCCTGCAGCCAACATGGAGTCAAGGAGGCCGGGGGGGGGGAGGGGGTCCAGTGTACTTCCCGGCAGACCAGGAAGTGGACCAGAAGTACTTCCGGTCCACTTCTGGGTTCGCTGCTGTAGCAGAATTGCCCCCTTTTTCCTCCTTGCCTGCATTTGCTTTCCACTCTTTGGATATGTTTCTCCTCTTATACCATTTCTTCCTTCCTCCTTCTTTCACTATAAGATAAGGAACTGTGTTTTTAAAGTTTGTATGTGTGTATTTTGTATCTCCCCTTGTATTTTGGCATTTTTATCTATTTGTGTGCCATGACATTACTCCTGTAGCTTATATTTTATACTCTTCACCTTTTTAACTAAATGTGTTTTTAGTTTTAGAAGTAAATTATACACTAACAATGTTAACAAGGGTGGGAATCAAACTGCCATTTCCCCATATCAGGCGGGCCCCTGAAAGAGCAAGCGAATCAGTGATCGAATTCATAACACGGTAGCAGGCTTCAGTAACAAGCAGCAATTAACACCTACGGAACCCACAGATCAACCAATGGAAGAAATCAATAGGAGACAATGTAGCAACCAGGAATTCTCTAAACTTTACTAGAAGCCCCGGTCTGAGTTAATCAATGCCGGGTCCTAACTTTTGGGGCTGAATATCTCCAGATCGACCGCTCCCAGAGCCCTATTCATGACAGCAGTAAATTAATCAAAATTCATCAACAGACTCTCAAACCTGCATGTACAAACAGACTACCCCTGGGGCTGACAGATGCCATCCAATAGCCACCGAGGGGGAAGTCCCACGAGGGTCAACGACCCCTGGATTGGGCAAACTGAAAACCGGGGAGTTGCCAAAGTCTGCCAAGGACAGATAAAAAGCAGTGAAAAGTGACCCTCGGCAGTGCCCTCTTGATCTCCTACTTGACCAGCACCTGACCTGTCCAGCCAGAAGGACCAGGCGGTGACCCCCTTCTGGAGGATAACACCATGCTGGAAGAAGCCTCGACTGTCCATCAACGGCAGACCCCAGTGCTTGTGGGATAGGTATACCTGACTCTGATGCCTTCCCCCCCACACACCTTTGTACCTCACTTGTGTGTGAGAGGACCAGTTCCAAGGCTTATGATTTGACTTCATTACAGTGTTTCAATCCGCCTAATAAACCAGAATTTCAAGGATCCTGAGTTGGACATTTGTAGCCAACACTGCCAAGCACACTGGAGAGCCCTGTCCATGCTCCTGTGGGATGCTCCATTCACTCCAGCACCATAGCAATCATAAGCCATGCCTGCTACCTCAAGGTATGTAGAAAACACTTTTAAAGCTGTGCCTGTGTCCAAATTGCTGATTCACAGAATCAGCATCAAATCTTCAAACTTGGATTCAGCTGAATCAAATCGGGGACAGTGATCCAAATCAAAAGGTCGAATCACTCTCTGATTTGGGCTGAATCCAATCAAATAGGGCCCATTTCACACAGCCCTACTTAGCATTGCCTTGGACTTAGTTTTGATTACAACTAAACCCTGAAGAACAGAAAATTCCTGCATGAGACTTCTTTGGCATGTCTTTAAATTCATTCTGCCACCTGTAATAATATACATGCTCTTTGCCATGTACAACACATGATAAAAATAATTACTGGAAATATATGATCTTTTCTTTAGATGGCTACACTGCTGACCTTTTTAAATGGCTTTAAAGTGAGCAATGAAAGAGTATAAAACATCATTTCAGTCCTTGATACATTAGGTGAATAAGTTAGGGAGCAGAACTTGACATTTCTTTGAAGTGATTGAAATGAAACATCCTGGCATTATTTCAGGCAAAAACAGTTTTTTGATTTTATTTGCAGATGTCTAGTGGAAGAAAATGAAGATCTGACAGGACAGTTTTATTGGAGGCAAGGTATGGAAGGAACTCTGCTTTTTTGTTTTTGTTTTATTTTTTTTAACCTGTATTTTCCAAAGATAAACTTTATGTTGCTTCCATAGTGACATGACTCCATTTGTCTCAAGGGTCTTGTCCATGACACACTTGATACCAATTGACAAGTATGCAGAGGTAAGTAATTATTTTTGTTGTTGGAAATGATTGTATCTTAATTATTGTTATCAAATATCAGTTAAGCTTTTTTTTTTATATATTTCACTTAATCTTAAAAGAGTCTCTTGTTCAACAAAACTCTCCTGATACCATGTCTTGCTTCCATACTGTCATCATTCTCCCTTGCACTTAATTCTAATCAGCTTATTTCCTATGCCCCTTTTCAAACTAATTTGGGGCCCGTTCGTTTTTTAAGTAAAGTGCAGCAGCAGAACAAGTGAGGCATCTCACTATAGCTCCAGTTGTATGAGTTTGGATTTGACTTCTGATTTGTGCCAAAGGCTACCTCTTTCAGTCCAACTGTAAAGGTCCTTTGGGCTGACAAGTTAAAAGGTCACCAGATGTGATGGTGTCACATTGTGCCAGGATATGTTGATGGATACAGAAAATGGCATGTCTTAGTGTAATAGGGGCCCCGCTGCATGACTGAGGGGGGAAGGGAGGCCAGGGCCTGCTGGCCAACCTAGCCCCTTGAACAGACTTAATGACAAACAGAGGACTTAAATAAAATGTCCACCTGCCTCAGGTGTAGGCAGTGATTGTCAGGCCTGGGGCGGAAGTAGAGGATCAGGTGACCCAGAAGAGGCTTAAAAGCTGAGGGCCTGGTTCAGAAGGGGCAGAGCTCCATGGAGGAGCCAGTCTAGACTACCTGGGAGAGAGGACTTTATGGCACAGAAGGGCAGAAGAGACCCTTCACCACAAGTAATATGAAATAAGTATCTTGAACTTCTAGCATCGGTGCTGCCTTAGGGTGAGATTGGTGTGCCAGAGCGGGAAACTCATCACACCAGTATAGTACAGACCATGGGCGACTGGTGCCACCTTACTCAGGGGGGCACATGCCCCCCCAGTAACCAGTCAGCGACCACAGTCAATCTTGTCAACTGGGGGGGGTCACCCAAAGGCCAATCTCACTCATTGGCTTTTGGAAGTGGGGAATGAGGCCTGTCAGGGGGTGCACCATCATCACCACTGGTACAAACAGTTACACTTAGCCATCCTAATCCAATGGGCAATCGAGGCTTTGGGTGGACCTCTTCCCAGGCCCCCTCCCTACCCTTATTTCTGTACTATACTTAAGGCACTACAGAGGAGCCTGATTTTTGGGAAACAATGAGTATTCTCCCTCTGACAATCTTGATACATCAGTGGCATTAACACCAAAATAATAATCGTAAGTGACCCCCAAAAAGTCATGACAGATCCATGTAAATTCAGATTGGACAGAAAATGCCAAGTGCCAAAGGCACTCAGTACAGCAACAATGTTTCCAAGGTTTGCATAGTTACCAGTTAAACTCAGATGTTTAGGACCAAGCACTTCTTTCACCTTGTAAGCGAGTCACTCATCCAGTTTCCTTATCAAAGCCAGTCACCTCTGAGTTCAGGTTTCCAGTCAGTTTATTTTTACATGGTGCAAGCTTGTTTGCTGTGGGAACAAAGCAAGCAACAGAATAATCAAATGTATCAGTACTAAACATACCCAAAACCTGTGGTCTGTCTTCTCACCTAGTGCAACCCAGGCTCTGCTTCTCCCTCAGCACACCACCTACCTCTACTCCTGGAGCTCTTAACTCCCTCTGTAGCTCCACTTTCATTTACTGGTCATCAGTTGCTACTGATTCCTAACCTACCTTTTAGCTGGGCCTCAGGCCTCTGCAGGCTAAGCACCTCTCTACACACCCATTGTCATGCTAAAAGAATATTTGCACTCCACTATAGCAAAGGCAGCCATCCCAAACCAGAAGGACTAAGAGTTTCTTTACTCTGTAGTCACAGCTGTGACTAGTAATGTATAAACACCTGAGCTGGCTTTAAATTAGATGGCCCAAGTACTACTAGCAGTCTATGCTGCTATGGAGGTGAGCATGGGCTGCAAATCCCACCCTGCCAACAGGGTAAATTCATCTCTATAGGACTCCATGCAGATCTGCCTACATTCCTACTTATATCAAAACTAGCTACCTAGGGTAAGCTTACGCTGCATTAGTAGATAACATATGCGTTGAATTTTAAAAACATTTTGTGAATAGAGATGGCAAATATTTTTCCTCCTATAAACCAGTAATTCTCAACCAGGGTCCTATGCCCTCCCACACCCCTGGCAGTCCCTTTGTCAATGACCCTCACAAAGGCTGACACTCTAGTATGGGTGGACAGAAAGATGTGGAGCTCCAGAGCCATGTTTTTCACTCTGGTGTATTTTGTCATGCTTCCAGGGCTGCTTGGAGGAGCCATGGGGACAGATGCCAGTGTACAAGACCCTGAAAGAGAGGTGGTGAAGACCACCTTTGCCCCCTCAGTTACAGACCAGGAGCAGGGAAAGAGTATATGGTGCAAAGAGTAGGGCATGGTGGGGTGAGGTCTTGCCCCTGCTACCCTCACCTGGCCCAAGCTAAATCGGTGGTTTTCAGCACTTTTGACCTGAAGGCCAAGGCTCCCTCCATAACTCTTTCTTTAATTTAGATTGTAGCTCAGTGATTCTCAACTGGGGCAATACTCAATTCGGAAAGCTTGGGGGGGTTGCTTTGAGGCTACAAATGTTAGGAACCACAACCATAAACATTTTTGAGATACCAAAAAAAATCTCTTCTGCATCAGAAGTGAAGTCCTTACAAGAAACTAAAACAAGATTGACAGGTGCCCATCAATTGCTCAGGGCCTGGTGGTAAGGAGAGTCATGGGGGAGTGTGCTTAAAAAAAAAAAAGGTAATTGCTTTAGAATGTTTGTAACCTCAAGACTGTTGTACTTCCCATGTACGCCCCTCAAGATTTCTAGGTATATGCTGAACTGTATAAACTATTTTGCCCATTATAAAAACAACTCCAGGTTTTGAATAACGTCTCCCTTTTGTTAGGGAATTTCTACATGAAAGTTGCAAAGGCCATCTATTGCAGAATATGTTACTTGGATCAGATCACTTAACATGTCTTCTGGGAATACACTCAGTTCTTAAACTTTTATTTCTGGCATGATTCTCAAATCAATTTTCTTTAAGTCATCATTTTACTGTGTTTTTAGATATCGTCATTTCAAATGGTGTTTTCAACTAGGGTGATTTGGAAAATTCTACCATCCTGTTTTCTGAGGCTTACTATTAGTATATTAAGCTTGGCATTCAGTATTTCTAAACTACAAATCATAGATTGGTTTGGGTAAAAGTCCATTGTTTCTGCCACTTCCACAAAAGAAAAAGAAAACTATGGATGGGTGTCAGAAGGGCAGGTGGAAGTTGCAAAACTTCCATGACTAACTGTTCTTTAACTTAACCTATAACTCTGTAGCAAGGTCACATACAGAGACCTTTGTTCTTCCAGGTGGTTTATGTTGCTCTACTTGCTCTTAGTTTCCATCTTCTTTTTCAAATTCTTTCAAGTGGTTTCATGTTCACCACTTCTAACACTATGAGCCAGGTGTCCAAGGAGAGTGGTCGCTCCTTAAGGAGAC